ACCTCCCCCGGGCTTGGCTTGGCCTTGCCGAGGGCGGTCATCGGAGGGTCCCGAAGTCTTGGGGCGATTTGGAGGAGCCCCCGGCCCTCGGTTATGCTTGTTGTCAGCCCTCGGGGTGTTGGTGATACTTCTCCACCTCCTCGGCCTCAGCATACCGGTCCCCCCGCTGCAAGGCCCTTATGTAGTCGCGGGGGGGTTCAATGATGAGGCTCCTTGAAAAGTTGCCGGTGCGGAGGACGGTTTGTAGGAGGGCCAGGAGGGTCCCGTCATCAGCACCGTCGACCTTGTCGGCCTCCGTCCTCCAGCGCTCTAGGAAATCCCGAAGGGTCTCATCCTTCTTCTGGCGTATTGTTAGGAGGTGGGAGAAGTGCTTCCTTGTGCGACGCCTCCCGGCGAATTGTGTCAAGAATCGTTGGGCGAGTTCTTGCCACGAATCAATGCAGCCCTCGGGCAGCCTGTTGAACCATTCGTATGCTGGTCCCTCTAAGGTGGAGAGGAACCAACGACACAAATATTCGTCTGACGCCCCCACCATCATCATGTTGTTCTGGTACTTGCTGTAATGTTCCTGGGGGTCCGTTTTCCCGCTGTAGGGCTGTATGTGTTGCCCTCGGTATTTCTCCGGGATCCGGGCCGCCAATACCCTTGGGGTAAATGGCGTCCGAGTCCGGAGCTGAATGACGGGTTCCCCGGAGCCCTCGGCCACCTTCTTCTGTAACTCCTCCATTTTGGCCATCATGGCCTCGTATTTGAGATCTGAGTGAGGGTGGAGGTGGTGGCGTGAGCTTTGTTGGACTCCATTTCGTCAAGCCGGCGCTGGAGGGCCGCAATAATCTCGTCCCGGGGGTCCCTCGGGAGGGTCTCCGCCCCCTGCGAACGAACCCGGGCCGAGTGGGCCTGGTTGATTTGGTGCCGAGCATCATCGGCATGAAGGGGTGCCTTGCCTTTGTCCCGAGGGGGACGCTCCTCGTCTGCCCTCGAAACAGATCCCCCGCTTTCCTGGGGCCTTTGGAGTGCTTTCCCCCCGAGGCGGTCTTGGACCCCTCGGCGGTCTGGCCCTCCTCCGAGCCGGTTGAGGGCGGAAGTACGGGGCCTCTCCCTGTTGTCATTATGGCGGTCCCGGGACTGAACCTCCTGTGAGGATGTTTCTTGGGCCACCACCCCTTCGTCGTTTCTCACACGAGGGGTGGGATTTCCGAGGGGGTGTGGCAGAGGGGGAAGTATGATATTTTCCCCGATCTGAGGGTGAGCTGGAGCCAGGGTGCCGAAGGCACCCGGGTTCTGGGTGAGCGTCTGGATGAAGGCGGAGAGCGCCGATTGTACGTCGATGGTGAGAACCGGAGGGCTGACTTGGTCATCGCTCCGGTTTTTCTTCTTGGCCTCGATGCCGAAGCGGGCATCGGGGGCGTTTTGTTGGATCTGAAGGCGTAGGTCGACAGCCGCCTGTTCCAGCCCAGCGAGGACACCGCCCTCGGGAGCCCTGTGAGAGGCTTCGGGGGCGTTGACGTCGCCGAGGGGCAGGTTCTTGTCTTCTACGTTCTTTGAGTTGGCACGTGTTGTCCTCACCATTTTGATAGAGGGCTAGTGTCTTGTGTTTGGTCGAGGGGGAGGGTTTCTTACTCGATTGTTCAACCTCTCAACGAGAGCACCAAATGATGGATAGTCTACCCGGGGGTATAAATCCGAAGGGTTATTACGGGGAGTAATTTAGAGAGAAGTCAGAGTAAGTGAATAAAAGTAGAGAGAGAGTGTATTCAGTATGAATGCCGTTTTCAGCGTCGTTACAAATGGGGAAATGGGGGGCTATTTATAGTAGCAATAAATGCCGGGCAGGGACACGCGTCAAGCGCTCATTGGCCGAGGGGTCGCCTCAACTGGTTGGCGCTGGCAGCCGCATGTGGCCGCATTTAATGCGGCTGTTGGATGGGACGTCTGTGCAGAGTACGGTGATCTGTACGCATGTGAGGCGGATATCTTGTCGAGTGAGATGCCTTCGGCCATAGAGCAGTAGCCGAAGGCTCCTCCAACCGAGGGCACCTTGGTGCCGAGGGCTCACAGTACCGAGGGCTACTGTTTTCGCCGTTTTCTCCCAGTTTCTTAGTTTGCTTGAGAAACCCGTTCTGTGAGAGTTTAGACCCTTCGGCCAGGGGGCCGAAGGCACCCCTGGCGCGTAGTGCGGGCTGCTTGGTACTCTGGGCGCTGTGATTTGGGCCTATTGGGCCTTCGATGGAGTAGTAGGAGTCTGTGGGCCGGGGGTTCCCGGGCCATATACTCCATCATGAATAATATCAACCTAATTATCCTAACTCAATTATCATTATCAAAATCATTATTGTTCATTGTTAATAATAATTATTATTGGTATTTTAGTCCGACCCAAACTAACACTGCAGCCCATCTAAGTAAAATAAACATCCTAGTTCAATAAACAAAAGAAAATAGCAGGGAAACGTAACAGTACGTGAACAGAGTACTATGTACTCGTCGACGGCCAAGGTGGAATACAGGGGAAGTCTCCGGCGGCGATCTTTGCGGCAGTCTTCTCCCCAGCGACGAGCTACGGCGGTCCTGTGAGTCGTCGGAGATGGACTGGTCGACGGTGGTTCTTCTCCTCCCGGCGTGAACTCAACACCTACGGTATCGACCTTCCTCCTCCATGATGACAACTACCTCCGGCGAACATAGGAGTGACCGTGTTCTACCATCGTCCAAAGCCAGCGTGTAAGTTCGGAGATGCAGACCAGCAAGAAACGTTGGAAAATCTTCTCCTCCAGCGAAGATGGCCTGGTTACGACGTGAAAACCAGTCCGGCGGCAACGACTCCGGCGAGCGATTGCTTCCTCTCCTCACGATCGTTTTCAGTGATTCCTCTTTCGTTGGATTCCACTCACGCAGAGAAAGATGTGGGTGTGTTTATAGCTCTGGGTTTTGGGTATAAGGAAACATAGAAAATTCTACACACACACACACACACACACACACATATATATATATATATATATATATATATATATATATATATATATATATATATATATATTGCTTGTTTGCTCTGCGATGGTGCAACGTAGGTTTGTTCTATTTATACTAGGAGGTTGGAGGTTCTAGCTACGAACAACGCATGTGAGTGTAGGTTGGCGATAAGCTTGGCTTCAACAGTGGTGAATGTGTATATTTTTTTTGTTCGTATACATTGGTCCATTGCATATGCATGTGGGTTTTGGTCCCTCTAGGTCAATCTTGTTTGATACAATGTACTAGTATGTAATTTAGCTCCAATATTTTCATTTGTGTACGTAGCATTATTTATATGATTATTTGTGTGTTTGTTACAATACATTTTGTACAAGTAAATGATATTCTTGTATTAAAATGTCACTTTTATTATTTATGTATAATTATTACTTGTTACAAAAATGTCATTTTTGTTATTTAAGTCAAGGTCCTATCTGCTCAACATAATTATTATAAAATGTCACTTTTTTATTGAAACATTTTTATCTGAAAAAACGTCACCAATGTTAAAATTTTATCTGCTCCACCTAATTATTAAAATGTTCCTTTCGTAACATTTTGCTAACTAATAAAATTTATTTTATTTTATTTTATTTTATTTTATTTTTTTAGATGTCACATTTATGCCCACCCTAATGAAAACATAGTTTATTTTTTGATCGTATTTGTGCAAAGTGAGTGACTTTTAATCATATTTTGATAATTAACCTTAATTCTACACTTCCACAGGAGGTTATCTTAAGAAGAAAAGAATCACTTAGATACGGAGTACTACGGAGTATTTTCATAATTCCCAACTTCTCAAACCAAAATTATTTCACAAAATAATTAATTAGTTCTCTAAATCAATTTTGTGTTCAATGCTTCTTATTAAGATTTAAATCAAAATTGAATACTATTATTAAGATAAAAGGAAGCACTAACAACAAAATGAATTATTAAATTTCAATTTTTCAACACATTTTTAATGTTTTGGGGCAAAAACCATATTATATGTTAAAGTTTTAAAACATTTCTTTCAGGTTAGCAACATTAAGAAGCAATTTGGTGACTCTGTTTTTCGACTTATCAAGCTTATTAGTCAACTTTTTACCAAACACCTAATTTTTTATTTCGCGCTGAATTATGTAATAATAAGAAAATGTAGAGTTAGTTTGGTGGCTGTAGTGACTGAAGTTACTGTAGATGACCATTTTAGCTACATTTCATATAACCTTTTCTTTATTTTATTAATAAAATACTCTATCCGTCCCAAAAAAAACTTTCCACTTTTCTTAAATAGATGTCCCAAAATTAACTCCACACTTCTTCCCACTTCCTTATTTAGCAAATTATCTACATCAAAACAGTGCTAAACAGTGCCAAACAATGTCAAACAGTGCTAAACAGTGTCCAAATAGTGTCCAAACAATGTCAAAAAAGTAAAATTTACCCCCTAGTAAGTTTATTTCCTTAATATGTGTGAAAAACGAAATATGAAGTTGTTTTTGGGACGAAGGGAGTATATTTTAATTTTTTTCTTCATAAATCAGCAGAATCGGTCAATATAACTACTTCAACCAGAACTTCAATAATTTCAGCAGAATCAACCGATTCAGCCGATTTTAGTGTTATCAAACGGACTCTAAATGATTTTCGGACAAAACAATATATTTGCACATTTTCCTATTACAAAACGTATTTGGAACCCATTGCCCTTATTAGCCTTTCAACTTTTCAAGTACTCTCTAAAAAAAGGATGACACCCCATCCCTGAGGCCTCCCAACCCTGACCGGATGGTACGTTGGGAGGATGTAAATTGGACTATAATCCCAATCTGACAGATAGAGAGTGGGGCTCTGTCCCCTATACTTGCAGAGGTCTTATGTATTTTTTAGCATAGTAACCCCTCATCGCAATTGTCGGGATTCGAACCCGGGACCTGACCTTTTCTATTAATTATTTTGAGTATATTTGTCGTCCCTGTTTAGAGTACAGGACATGTCTGGAATCCATTGCCTTTATTACCCTTTCAAGCTTGACTGACAAAACTTGAGGTTCACAAGACTTGCAGAGCTGCAGAAGGCTGCTAGATAAATTTCAGCCAACTTTCTCTTCCAATGCCTCAAAAAATGTTGAACCTTTGGTGCATCTTCCATCTGTTCTTTCTTCATTTCGCCTTCAATGGTAAACAACAAACTGATTTCCTCACGTTTTATTTATTATTATTGCTTTAGTTTTTCCCATTGTATTTCTATGAAGTGTTTTTTTGTTCGTTTTTTTTTTCAGTGGCTGGTCATGAACCAGCAGTGGGAGTGATGGCTATTACTATTCAGGATTCAAGTCCGGTGGCTCTACAAGCCTTTGCCGGCACCGGTGTACCTGTAGCAGTTTCAGTTCCGGCGGAAAGCCTCAATGCGGTGTCAAGAAGCGTTCTTGAAGCTGAAAACTGGGTCAGAACCCATGTTCTTGCTCACTATCCATCCACCAACATCACCGCCATTGTTGCTGGTCACGGTTTCTTCTGCCAGAATCCCGAAGAAGAAGAAAGAGAAGGGCTGTTACCCCTGATTTTACCATCCATGAAGAACATACACTACTCTCTTACCAGGTGGGGTTTGGATGGAGAAATCAAAGTCTCCACTTCTTTCTCCAAAAACTGTGTCCACCTATCATCCGAAAACACCTATAGATTCGTATCGCCGGAGATATTTCATGTTATCCCTGTTCTCGAGTTTCTCCGGCGAGTAGATTCGCCGTACTTAGTGACCCCACCTTCAGACACCCCCGTTTCAGAATCCATCAAGAATATAGGGTTCCAGAATCTAACCAAGATCCATCTCATCCCTGAGATCGGTCCCCAGAAACCCACAACCAGAAAGCTCGCTTACTACCCGATTGCTCTCCCGCCGCTAGTCGGAAGAGTTAACCCACCGCCTTTTTCTGTTCCGGTTTCCCCATCATATGGGCCACATTTGCCACCCTGCAGCCCATCTGGGGAAGTTCCAGGCCCAGCCCCGTCGGGTGGGGTTCTTGGTGGGCTTTGGTGCGTGGCAAAGCCCAATGTGCCAGAGGAGACTCTGAAGGAGGCTCTGGACTATGCTTGTGGAGAAGGAGGAGCAGATTGTGCAGAGATTCAACCTCAGGGAAGGTGTTATAATCCAAACACCATTGTTGCGCATGCTTCTTATGCCTTCAACAGCTATTGGCAGAGGAAGAAGATGACTGGTGGGACTTGTGGATTTCATGGAACTGCCATGCTCATCAACTCTGATCCAAGTAAGCTTTATTCGAAGATGGAATCTTTTCTTTATGGGATAATCATTTTGTTGAAAAGTGTCAATGATATCAAGTTTAGTGAATAGTTAAAGTGAGATTTGTTTTGGATGAAAAAAAATGGTTTATGGTACAATACAGATAATTTGTTTTGGATGAAAGTGCGATAATTTAAGGGTAAGTTTGGAATGATATGCCCTGCCTTAAAGTGAGGTGGCTAAAGAAAAAGGTTCAATAAAGACTTTCATGGTACAAGATTCACTACCTCTACAAAAGTAGGTTGGGGTGGGGTTTTCCCCAAAGTAATTATTGATATACATAACATGTGTACACAAATTGTATATTATCTATGTTCACATGCATTTTGACGTAAAATCATACTCCCTCCGTCACACAATTAAGTTATCACTTTTCTTTTTGGACAGTCCCTAAATTAAGTTCACACTTCCTTACTTTCCTTATTTGGCAAATTATCTACATCAAAACAGTGTCAAATAGTGCAAAACAGTGTCAAACAGTGTTAACCAGTGTCCAAACGGTGTTTGAACAGTGCAAAACAGTGCACTCCACAGTAAAGTCAAATTTATTTTCTTAATATGTGTGAAGTCAAACCGGGAACTTAATTGGGGGACGGAGGGAGTACTTTTTTCAAACGAATTATCTGTGTACACAGACAACTAGGAGGGTTATTTAAATTGTGTACTATTTTTGTGTACAAGAATCTTTATATCCCCAAATTTTATACCCATTAGTGTGGCAGGTCTGGCCCGACCCACAACCAATGGACCACTTCACATGTCTATACCCGACTGCCCCGCTTGGAAAAGTTTTGATTTTTTTAGAATTATCATAACAATTTCGAACACTTTTAAGATAAATTACAATGTTTTAAAAATAGTTCATGTTTTTATAATGTTATTATGTCTCTCATAATGTTTACACAATAATAACTTAATAATCATAAAAATCTGCAAAATTTTATGGGACAGATGTATATGTGTTTCACTACTAAATGTACTGATATAAATGCAGGTTATCGTCATTGCCGGTTCACAGTTGCTTAGTAGATTGAGTTGAGATGGAGAGGGAAGTGAGAAGAAGTTGTTTGGTTGCCACTATGTTTTTGCACTCCATTAGTCATGTATGCCATTGGGACATTCTATTATATGCACGAGAATGTACTCGTGTTATAATTCTCCCTATTCATTGCATATTTTGCTAAAATTCAATTGACACCGCGTACATTTCATTAAGAATGGACTTCCAGGAGAGAAATAAGAATGAATCTGGATCGTTGGATTGTACAATGTGGATCTGGATTATGCATTTTGTAAACTGAAACGTGCATCAGATAATATTGAAATGTGCAGAATAAAAATTTAAAATCAAGTGTGCATTAGGTGAAACTGAAATGTGCAAAATAAAAGATACAAAAATAACATCACATCGTACCTTTTATTTCAGCACATTTTAGTTTCACCTAGTGCACATTTCAATTTCACCTAATACACAATTCAACTTCACATAATGCCACTGTATCGTACCATTTGTGTTGCACATTTCAATTTCACCTAATGCACATCGCAATTTCATCTAATGCACATTAAATTTCACTCAAAGCAAATCTAACGGTCCAGGTTCATCATCATTTCTCTCCTAAGATCATGTTCTTATTTGAACCAAAGTCTATCTCTCTCTCTCTCTCTATATATATATATATATATATATATATATATATATATATATAAGAGATCAAATACAAACCATGTTTAGATACTGACCTACAAACTCAATAATATGCATCATTTTGAACTTCAATATGCAGTAAAAATAATGTAAAGATGCAGTAGTGAGATCACATACAAACTAGTCCTACATTCTATTCATCTTTATATTATTTGTATTGCACATTGAAGTTCAAAGTGTTTCATATTATTTAAGCCATAACATAACAGTTTCATATTTACATTATTTGTATTGCATATTGAAATTCAAAGAGTGCATCTTTACATTATTTGTACTGCATATTGAAGTTCAAAGTGTTGCATATTATTGAATTTGTAGGTTAGTAAGTTAAGCATGATTTGTATGTGATATCACCCCTATATATATATCTTATTTTTGCTCTTCATCTTCTTCATTTCACAACACGGTCATCTTTAATCTGAGAGGGAAAACATGGAGGAAATTACCAAAATACGGGGTTTAAATACCTAGTCGGAATTGTGGAATCCGACTAGGGGTTTGAATTTTTTGTTTCCATTATTTGTTTAATCCCAATGAATTAAAAAAATAAAATATAAATAAAACCTAGTCGGAACTGTATAATCCGACCAGGGTGTTTGAAATTTTTTTGATGTTCAATAATGTGTAATTAGAAGAATTAAAAAATAAAAACAAAAAACAACCTGTCGGATAGCCCACATCCGACTAGGGATGTTGTTTAAAAATTCTATATTTGAAAATACATATATTTTGTTTTATTTTAAGAAATTTGATAAATTAAATTTTTATTTTAAGAAATTTTATATTCAAGATAAATTTTGTTTTATGTAAGGGGTAATTTGAGTTTGCACCCCACTTTATTGTCGAAATTAGACTTTGCACCCCGTTTTTGAAATCTTTAGTATTTCCACCCCAACCCCGTATGAAAAGACAAAAATGCCCCTCGATCAGAAATATGTTGAAGGCCAACAAAATTGTTAAGTGAGGGGTATTTTAGTCTTTTCATACAGGGTTGGGGTGCAAATACTAAAGATTTCAAAAATGGGGTGCCAAGTCTAATTTCAACAATAAAGTGGGGTGCAAACTCAAAATACCCCTTTATGTAAACCATAACGTTAGAAGTATTTATTAGATAAAATTGATAATCAGATAAAATTTAATTAGATAAGTTCATCGGATAAAATGAATGAGATAAATTTTTATCATATATAATTCAATCAAAATTCAATATTCTATCCAAACATATCTGTACAAAAATAAAGTGACCCAAAATTCAATACTTCATGTGCCAGATTATAAAACCTCCGATTTTACCCAATAAGGACACAATCATTCAAATTTTATGCAATCAGCCTATATCATGAACACGAGTTGTGAAATTGACCGGCCATGAGTTCCTTAATATAGAGATGACAATTTAATATTAACACTTGTGATTCACATTTTGTAGAATCGGATCATTAAAACCCCAATTCGACTTAGTAAGGATACAATATTATGAAATACAATTAGCATACTTCATGAACATGATTGTGAAATAGACCACGAGTTACTTAATATATAGATGAAATTTTAATATTCATACTTGTGATTCACATTTATTAGACCCGGATCATAAAATCCCCTATTCGATCCAGTAGGGATACAATCATTTGTAATGTAATCCTATATCATGAATACGAGTTGTAAAATTGACAATGATTTACTTAACATATAGATGTAATTTTAATATTCACCCTTGTGATTAACATTTTTTAGACCCGGGGCATAAAAACTCATATTCGACCCAGTAGCACTAGTAGTAGGAGTAGTAGTAGGAGTAGCACTAGTAGTAGTAGTAGTAGTAGTAGTAGGAGGAGTAGTAGCAGTAGTAGTAGTAATACCATCACGAATTTAGCCATACATCGTGATTAACCCCTTTATTATTCCCAAATCCTAATTAAAACTACTCCCGACTCATTAAATGTTTAATTCATAATAAATTCGAAAAAAAATCAAAAATTCGTAGAAAAATAAATAAAAAATTTATAGAATATTAATAAAATAAAATATTTAAAAAATATACTTTTTTAAATTTTTAGTTTTTTAAAAAATTAATAAAAAATAGCAAAACTCCATAAAAAAATTAAAAAAAATATGGATGTCTTTCCCACCGCCTGTACAACCTTCCTGCACCACCACCTCCGGGCGGTGAAAAAAATTCCATTTTTTCTTAAAACTGTCATTTTTTCTGAAAATGCCAAAAACATGGCATATTTCTCTTTGCGAATGCCATCATTTGCATTATTTTCTACCATAAAAATGGCATTCATAATGAACTTGGCATTTTTTTCCCTGGTGACTGGAGGTGATGGTGCAGAGGCGGCAGAGGCGGCGGTGAATTTTATTTTTTTGAGTTTTTTATTTTCTAAAAAACAAATTATATTTTTTTATTTTTTCAAAAATAAATAAATAAATATATTATTATTATCGAATAAGTCATAAATTAACTAGGTTAAGATTAAATAAGTCATATTTTAGAATTAACTAGGTTAGGGATATTAAGGGTACAAAATTAATGTTTATTCCTATTGAAGGAATTTTTAAGTTTTACTCCAATTTGTGCAATTATTTTTATGTTTACTCCTATATTGGGTAATTTCTATAGTCTAAACTGCACTACTTTGAAAATCAAAACATTTTACAATTCCGCCACTAATTTAAAAAAAAAAGAATTCGGCCATTTTAAAAATTAAAACAGGAATCAAATTGGCTAATTTAGTTTAAAACTTTAGTTGGAAGAATTAAAAACATTAATTTAAAACACGAATCAGTTTTAAAAAGCAATTAATTCTTTTTACAATTAATTCCACTTTAGTAGCAACTTAATTTAGGGAATTTTAAAAAGCTTTGAAACTTAATCCACAAACACTCCTTCAGTCGGAACTCCTACATCCGACAAGAGTTTTTTTTTTAGAAAACTTTAGTTTTAAAAACTTTGAAAATCAAAAACTTAAGAATTGGCAAAAAATATATATATAAACCCCTTGTCGGAAGTGGTTAATCCGACAGGAGGGGAGGTAAACCCTAAAAAAAAACCCGTATTTTAGCAACCCCATCCAAATTTTCCCGTGTTTTGGTAAAAGACCCGAAAACATGGACCTGTAAAATGTGTAGGCTTACTCGCAGGCGCAAATTGAACACCCAATGGGCCGCGCATGGCGGGCCCGTTAAAGCAAATGGTCAAGTCCCACAATTGGTTAGGGATCATAGGATTCCAGAGACGGTGAGGATTTATAACTCATCCTCGTCCCGCTGCCGCCGCCACTGTCACCGGGGAATCAGTATTGAGAAATGCAAGATTTTGGTCTTGATGATGAATGAGGCTACTAGAGATACATGGAGATTTCTAAGGGTGGTTGCCGGTCTCTGTTTGCCAATGATTTCTCATTAGTTAACAACCCTTTCAAATTTTTAATACTTCGTATATAACTGTCTTCTTCATCTGCTTCTTCTTCCTCCTCTTCACTGTATTGGCACTAGGCTGGCTAGCCACCAGTCCACCACATTCACCGTTTCCTCGATTATACTTCGGATTGCGTTTAAAGAAAGTGGATTGATTGTGTATGTGTCTGTGAGGATGCATTTTTGGATTTGATTGGGCATTGAGAAGATGGTACCTTTTGGGCAGGGCAATCCGGGATTCCAAGATGTTTCTCGTTTGACCCGGATTGCAGCCAGATGGGTTGTCTTTTATGCTATGCATCTTATAAACACATATCTGAGACTCATGCTGATTGAAAACTTTGTCCAGCTGAAAGAATTCCTAAAGGGTAATATATACTTACCTTTTTGTCAAAATGCTCTAATAATTTGATGCTGCAGAGGGGTTGAGGTTTCTAAGGGTGGTTGCCCCTCTCTGCATGCTAATGATTTCATGTCGCCCTTGAAAATCAACAGCTCTTACGGATTAGTAGTAATAACAACAATGATGATGATGATGATAATAATAATAATAATAATAATAATAATAATAATAATAATTAGAATAATAATAGTGTGCAATATACTTCGTATGTTCTTTTCAGTATATCTTGGTAGGCTGTGATGATGCTAAGATTTACATGGAGCTTCATGGCGAGGAAATCTAACCCGAATCTTGGCAGGGCAAATCAATATGATAATGAGGTTTGCAGCCATGTCGGTGTATTTTTCTTGGACCCTGTCCTGATCATATAAAGGATCTGAGCCTACATCCTCACATAGACTATGACCGTATTACACCGTCGGGAGGATGCATTTTATTGATATCTCTGGAGGCTGTTCCGGGAATGTTAGGTTTCTAAGGGTGGTTGCCCTTTCCCTGCATGCCAGTGATTTGAGGTTGCCCTTCTATTCAATAGCCCTTCTGAATTTAATACGGAGTAATATATGTTCTTTTTGAGCTGGTTCCTGATATACTGAGTATATGTTTTTGCTAATAATCTGATTTGCACACTTTAAAAATTCTTAGTAGGCTGATGATGGTATGATTAGCATAGAGCTAAATGGGTTAGGGAAATTA